TGCAAGTTTCAGTATAATATTTAGCAGTAGCTTCAGCTAGCTTATCCGTATTAGCATTAGCTTTGATCCTTACTCTCTCTCCAGGCGCTAGATCTCATGAATTTACTTTCCTCGGCCTGTCGTGTTGCCTTGATTCTGATGTCCGTGGCTGCTCTTTTAAAAACTAACTTCCTATAGTTGCTGTTTGTTAACTTAACAAAGTTTTAGCTTTAAGGTTTCTTGTAGAAAACCTGCTGCGGTCGGTCAACACCACCTCTCGGTAGGTTTGCTTGACTCAATCCGCGCGTTGCACACTGCCAACCGGCACAAGGCAGAAGGGGGAGGGGGCGTTCACGTCCGCCTTTGACCCACTCCTCAATGCCCCCATCGTCCTCATGCACTCAAAAATCACCGTGACACAAGTCTGTAAACTTACAATGACATTTATATGTTATACGTATAATCAAAATGGACTAACTTGATGCGGCCGGCCAGTACACGTGGCATACGAAGCAAAATCAACTGCATTTGTTTGGGGACGAAATAAAAGTAAAACAAACTTCATTTGTTAGAGTATATTTATTTAATATGTTGTTCATCTACATGCCACAAAATAAAAACAATAATTAAAAACTATTCAATATCTTGATGCACTTATAGTATAGTCATTACGGCTGTAATCTGAGGTCAATATGGTAACCTCCATGTAGTATATCCGTGTCATAGCCACAGTTTTAAAGACAAAACCAGACCTCCAAATTTTATTCTGAGCAAGTAAGTCTCTGAAAATCAACCAGTCTTAATAGACAAACGACATTGCTGCTATATTGTGTAAATTGGTTGAATTGTTTATTGTTTACATGTACTGTAGATTGTCTAAAATTTGGTTTACTTGGTACCAAACAAGTTTGCATGCGAGTCTGTAGGTCTGTATCAAATGTCAGCGCTTAAATCATCGTGAATACGTGGGATATTTACAAGCTCGTAAAAACACATAGATACAACGATGTACTAATACTGTTTTACTTTGTGCAGCTGTATGCCATATGCTCATGAAGAAACTCGCCTCCCTGAGATGTGCCTCCCTGAGATGTGCCTCCCTGAGATGCGCCTCCCTGGTTTGCAGATACTCCAGTCACCTGGCCACACAGCACTATGATGTTATTGTGGTGGGAGGGGGCCATGCAGGCACAGAAGCTGCAGCTGCAGCTGCCAGACTGGGTGCTGAAACACTCCTGGTCACACAAAAAATACAAACCATTGGTGAGATACTGGTGTCACATATTCAGCTGTTTATTTTTGTATTATTATGGTGCAAATTTTATTTTTCACTCCAATCTAGGAGCTCTGTCTTGCAATCCATCTCTGGGAGGAGTAGGAAAGGGCCATCTTGTGAAGGAGGTTGATGCTTTAGACGGCTTGTGTGGAAGAGCTGCAGACTGGGCTGGAATTCATTTTTCCATGTTGAACAGGAGGAAAGGACCAGCAGTGTGGGGCCCCAGGGCCCAACTAGACAGACAGCGTTACAGGGAATTTATTCAGGTAACAGCTTCAGCCCCTGTGACCTCAAGCCTGTGTATTATGTTAGTATGCATTTGCCTTGTTTTATTTTATTATATTTTCAGACCGAGTTGTTGAATATACCCAAGCTAACGCTTCTAGAGGGTGCAGTGGATGAGCTGCTGGTAACAGAAGCAAGCACTGAGGGGCCTGGTCAACACAAAGTCACTGGCATACGATTAGGTTCAGATTTAGTTTCTGTTTATATTTACATTTTCTTGAATAGTGACTTTTAAACTTGGAGTCTGATATTTTTCAGTAAATGGAATGCAGCCCATCTCTGCCAGCTCTATCATTCTCACTACTGGCACTTTTCTGTCTGGGTTCTTGTTTGTGGGCTGTACAACTTCCCCTGGAGGACGAATTGGAGATGCTCCTTCAGCATCTAGGCTGTCCCACACTCTGAAGGAGATTCTGGGGCTAAAAATGGGCAGACTCCGGACGGGCACACCTCCAAGGATTATTAAGGATTCAGTGGATTTTTCCCAGGCCAAGTATCATCCACCTGACAGTCAACCAACACCTTTCAGTTTTCTCAATCCTCAAACCCACTGCAAAGTAAGACACACTACGCGGAACCATTTATCAACAAGAAAGATTATCAAACTATTTAATTCCAAAATAAACCTTACAGCCAGAAGAGCAGCTGCCATGTTACCTGACCTACACTACTCCTGGTGTTGAGGAAGTGGTACACGACAGCCTCCATCTTAATTGCCATATACAGCAAGACACAAAAGGTCCCAGGTACAAATAATATCTTAATATCTTAAAGGTGCGCTATGTAATTTTTCATGTGCTTGTCTCTGTGGAGATGTTGTTGCTTTGTCTAAAATATTTCACAACAGAGATAGACCGATATATCAGCCAATCGTTATACTGAGCCAATATTTTCACTTTTTAGCAAATCAGATATCGGCCTTAAACCTCCAGCACAGGTTTTTTTTTTTGTTTTTTTTTTTGGCTGACCTGCTGATTTAAAAAAAAATACACACACACATCTTTATATGAATACATAAATGCAAATAGAAAACAGCTCAAAATACGACTACACTGCTCTCATGAATGTTTGTGGTAAAAGGAACTGTAGATGAGTTTGTCATAAATTAAAATTACATAATTTGGTGTAAATAATCTGAATATATCAGCGTAGAGATTCTATCTGAACAGTCACCGGCCATGAAAAAAAACATATTGGTCAATCTCTATTTCACAGTAATAAAAACATTTATAATGCATAAAATAAATGCAAGATGGATATGTTTTCATGGAAACCAGTAGACCAGGTTGTATATCCTCCATCAGAAAAAGTTACTTAGTGCACCTTTAACTTTACAAAATATTATTGTCAAAAGCCTGAAAGAAAATGAATGTACTGACACAGATACTGCCCTTCTATTGAGTCCCGTGTGCTGCGGTTCCCGGGGAGGAGTCACCAGGTGTGGTTGGAGCCAGAGGGGCTGAGCTCTGACTTGATTTACCCTCAGGGTCTGTCCATGACCATGCCTCCGGACATGCAGCTTCGCCTCATCAGAGAGATACCCGCCTTACACAGCGCTCAGATCCACACGCCAGGTTTGAACAGCCTTGTATATCAGCCAAGTATAAGATTGCTGGTGTTCACGTGACATAACAGATTTGATAACAGCCCATAATACTGATTTGTTTTTTAAGTCGATGTTAATCGATGTCGGTTTTTGTTACTTATCTGAACTGAGGTGAATTATTTTGGTGCCCTAAAAATGTTATTGTTGAAAGCTGAAAAGAATTTCTGTTGGAATTAATGCGGAAAGGCTGCAGACCCAATACATGACTCGAATTCAAAGGTTTAGTATATGTCAATTTTTTTTGCTTGAATATTTCTTTCAAAAACATTGAATTGCCCAAAGGCCCTGTGAAATTATGACATCCTATTGTAGAATGAAGTGAATGCAATTTACTGATAATCTAACATTCATCATGTGCTTCTTGGACAGGTTATGGAGTGCAGTATGACTTTGTGTGTCCCACTCAGCTCAGCCCCAGTTTGCAGGTGAAAAGCACTCAGGGGCTTTTCCTGGCAGGACAAATCAATGGAACAACAGGATATGAAGAGGCCGCTGCTCAGGTAATGGTTTCGGAAATTACAATTAGAAGTACATTTTTACAGAAATTGTACTTTTAAGAGTAAATTAAGTAAAATGTATAGCGTGATAACTATATCCTTTACTTGCACTTTAGTTACAAACCTTACTAGATTTATATACATTAATGTAGTCTATTCTTTAAAGTAAACATTACCATTTTTGACCACCTGTGTATATATTCTAATAAGGCATTTATCATCACTGTACTGTAGGGATTGTGGGCTGGGGTGAATGCTGCACGCTCTGCCCTCTCCAAACCACTGATGGCGCTGTCTCGCACTGAGAGCTACATAGGAGTTCTCATTGATGATTTGGTGAGTCGTGGGGTCACCGAGCCATACCGAATGTTTACCAGCCGGGCAGAGTTTCGAACTTCATTAAGGCCAGACAACGCAGATCTTCGTCTCAGTCTTAAAGGTAGAGAATTTACCAAGTTTGTAATATATAATCAGATTATATATTACATTATATAGTGAGTTTAAACCCTCCTTTTTATCCGTCAGGGTTTGAAGAGGTGGGCTGTGTGTCCCTGCATCGGTATAAAGAGGCTGTGAGGGTTCGAGATTGTCTGCAGGATGGACTAGCAGCTCTTGAGGGCCTGTCTCCATCTTCTCACACATGGAGACACAAACTGCCCAACATCAACATGAGTGAAAATAAGAGCACCATTATGACGTGAGTAATGGCTAAGATATATTTGATTAAATTATTATAATAAAAATACTTTGTTATTTTTACAGCGGTATTGAAATTCTGCAGTACAGTGAGGTGTCCTATGAAATGCTATGCTCAGTATTTCCAGAGCACCTGTTGCCTTACATAGAATTCTCTCAGAGACTCAAGATTGAAGGTAACTACTAAAGATTTGTTTTTTGACTCATTCATTCATAGTTGACAGTTTAACACATTTCATCCCCAGCTGTTTACAGGCCCCACTGTGATAAACAAAGGAAAGAGATAGAGAGGATTCAGAAGGAGGAAAACATGGTCCTCTCTCCAGACATAGACTACCTCTCGCTGCCTGTGTCACTGTCTCAAGAGGTCAGAGAAATATTGGACAGTATCCGACCAACCACTGTGAGTGTCTACTTAAAAATTGTTGAACTGTTTTTGTATTTAGCTTTTCAAACTATAGTTAATACATGCAATTTTATGGTTATCATCCAGCTTGGTGCTGCTTCACGTTTACAAGGTGTTACCCCTGCTGCGATTGTCCACCTTCTCAACTATGTCCAGCCCACGGGCCACAAGGAAAAGAGAAACGACAAGCCTCAACTTCAAGACCAAAAAAAAGGAAAGCGAGAGCTATGTATGAAAAACACACTATAGGAAAAGTTGTAATAATGTGATGTATTCAAAAATGTACAAAATAAATTACTGTTACATTCTTATGAAACATTACAAAATAATTTTACTAATACCTCAATGAACAAATGTACAAACAACAGTTTCATTTTTCCAAGTATAATTTTTGCTATGTCTATGAGATTAAGCATTTTATAAACCATATTGTGAATACAATGAAGATCCATGTTATGTTCAGAGATCCACTGCTTTTTGAAAGAATATGACCATCTACTTCATCTACGCCTCGACTGAAGAAACCGAAGGGAAACCTCCACTGAAGCTGCGGTGCACCTTGAGGGGGTTTGGGGTAAAGGCTGGTGTCAACAAAAGTCACTTCATTGGACAGAGCGATGGGGGTTGTGAGAGGACACTGAAAGAGACATTTAGAAGCTATGATATGAAAAATAAGCCCAGCAAAGCTGGAGGTCTGTATATTCTACTAACCTTAAAGATACTACAATGGAACATGTATTTGACACCCAGGATGTAGTCTTGAGGTAGTTCAAGAAGCCCCTGTCGAGCCCAAAGCACTCGGATAGATAGTGTGTGTGGAAGCATGCAGCCTGTGTCACCAAACTCCTGAAAAACATTTGTGGTATCAGCTATGAATTGAATCTCAGGGATTATTAATTCAAACACATTTTAAAAAGAACCACATGCTGATCTCTTATTACGACTATCTGATGCACTGTAAACCACAATTTACTATTATCAGACTGCCTGATCACCTCAGTAAAACCCCATGAAAGTTGATCATTTGAAAAATTGAAAGTACCTGTGAAGCTACAAGACATTCTTCACTAAGGACTCTTGTCCAGTCCGGTTGAGACCCCGAGTTCATGGCAACTAAATCTGGAATAGCAACTCCGCGATGGATGTCATAAATCTGGGTGCGCAAATCTGAACAGTTGTTAACCATCGAACTGGAACAATAAAATAGAAAAAAATATTATTTAAAAAGCATTATATTTATTTATATATTTTAAGCATACATACTTACGTAAATGAACAACCGCTTATTGAGTTGTGCCCAAACAGAATAGGCATCCTTGTGTTTGAATCAGAGCATCCACCATTTTGGGACACTCCAATAACAGTGAGCTGTCAAGGAAAGTACATTTAAAACAAAAATATTAAGTGAAAATGGAATTGATTAATTTTGCCAAAGCGTACAGGCTTCACATCCACATGATAGCGTCCAATGACAGGAGAGCCTGATTTGAGTCCAACAGCAGGTATTGGTTCTGTGGATACTGGAGGTGTTTGTGGAATTAGCTGGAAGATCCAAAACATATATTAACATTTAGCATATTGTAAGTTGCTGTTAAAATAGTTGAGCCATTTTACCTGAAATTGCACTGTATGTGTCTGCAGCAGCAGCTGTTTGAGAGTCAAATTTGCTAACACAATATTAACTTTTGCAGATGAGATTTCACCTCTCTCTGTGTATCCAATTACAAATTCCACCTATATGAGAGAGAGTATTAAGTTTACTAGTTCATTAAAGATATGTATTGGAGGTAAAAACTTTACCCTTTTGACCACATCAACACAAGAGTTGTTTTGTTTTCTCGGTGTATTCCATTTTGATGATGGAATGACAGGTATCTGAAAATAGATATTTTTTTAAGTTGTCACAGAGTTCACAAGATTTGAACTATAAATACATAGAAAGGTTTGATGCATACCAGTAGGCCAGTTACTAGATCAGTTTCAAAAATGGGATGCTGCAAAACAATATGTAAAATAATATACAAATCAGATAATAAAATCAAATATCTGGTGTAAGAATGTTTAACTTCCCAACCTTAATCAGATTCAGGTCATAGATGTAGGACTGGGCATTGAGAGTGGGGTCTATCATGCAGGACTGAGAAGTTACTTCACGAGAGCAGGAAAAAGACGATGACCTCAAAAACTCTGGAAATAATAAAAGTGAAATTATTATTATTTTAACTTTTAATGTTAAAATATCACAGCCTCATAAGCAACTGCCTCATACCACTCAATTGTATAATATGTGTACTTTACATGAAAAAAGTTCAAGTTTTAATTACTTATTCGACTTACTTGCAGGGTTGCGATTAGTGCACAAAGCAGATGCAGGACCAGGGCATGGCTGACGAAGGACGAACCGAGCTGATGTCTTGGGGAAGTATGTGAGTATCAGATCGTCAACCTACAAAGTTACATATTTAGTAATGTGTGAAAGTTTATTACAAGATTACAAGCAATGATAGATCACTGTGTACCCGGTAAAAATCTCTGGTGAAAGTTGTTATTATTTGGTCTGGTGGTGCGAAGTGGTAAGAATCCCCCAAGGGAGGGTAGTTAGGGGCAGTCTCTGTAGTGGACACTGACTTTTCTGTTGCAAAGAAATATATGAGAAATAAAACTATGCTTAATTGTTTGAATTATTAAACAGTTAACATTGAGGTTACCTGCAGGCTGGACACAAAATAAGGAGTCAGTTACAGTCACAAGAGATGAATCTACATTTGCTCGAAATATTAGCCACTTCTCAACACAAACTCCAGATCTGTAAAGGATATAAAACAGGTGAAACTGTAGATTTCTTATGGCGTTTAGTAAAAAATAAATATAAGTGTTACATTGCTTTTTGAGGACATCCAGTAAATACTGTGCTTAGGTTGGCAACACCACAATCTTCTGTGTCACAACAGCAGCCAATATCACAGAAGTCAGGGGTCAAATTGCACAAACAAACTGTAAGATTTACCATGGGATTAGATTTTACAAGTTACTTAAATGGACGATTAAATTAACCGTTATACCCTGTGCGTCCAAAGACGGGACAGCTGGAGCGTCAGTAATTTTAGAGACTACGGTGGTCGTCGTGGTGGGCACAGTGCCGTTTTCAGGAGTGAACTCTTCCGTGGTAACGTTGGTGTCTGGAGCAGCGGTCTGAGAGTTAATGTTAAAAGACTCTGTGAATGTTTCTTGAGCCAAAGTGGCGCCAGAATAGAACACAATGAGGAAACCTACACAGGGGAATAATGGATAACCCATGATAATAGTACAGCATGTCCTGGCACGCACAAAAATGCGTCAAGAATTTAGGCGACAATATTGAAACATTTCCTAGATAACGCGATTAACAGAAGTTTTAATATTATCAGAACGGATAAGCATCTCGAACGAAAACCAGAACATACATGCTAAAAATGACTAACAGACGCGAGGTGCCGTTGCTAAGGAAGTTGTCACCTTTACTTCCGCGTTTCTTAGACTACCGTAAACTACGTAAGAAATGCGCAGGAGCACGCGCGGACCAAGGGACTCAACAGAAACGGGACACATCCACTTTCACAACATGAACAAAATGTCTAAATGCCAGATGCTGAGAGCTTTAATGAATGAGTGCTGAACTGCGGCAGCTAATGAAGAACAATGAACAATAGCAGAGTATGAAGAGATATTTAGTCACTGCAAAGAGGAAAACCAGAAGACACAGGACAGACCTCCTGGACTCTCTTCTGAATGCCTATGTCGTTTTTCACAGAGCTGATGTTTCTGTTCATTCCTAAAATCATTTTAGAGCAGGAAACCTAAAGGACTCCTCCGCTAATTAAAGATGACAGCGTCACACAAAAGCATCTGTCTAAAGCAGTGGCGCCTAGGTCAAAATTATAAATAAATAAATTAATTAATTAATTACTAATAATGAATGCCTGAAACAGGTGGTCATTTGGTCACTATTGGCTGAACTATATCTTGGATGACTATAAATAGTTTGTCTCATATTTCATTAGTCCTATCATTCCTATTAGGAATAGATCACACATATTCCCTTAAAATTTATAGATGTGCTACTTTTCCTTCCACATGAAATGCTTGCACATACACCACATTTTCTTACACATGCTGAATAGCTTGCACGTAATAAACAGTTTTTGTCACGAGCATGTCTGTCAAAAGCTCACACATATATTACTTTTATTTTGCAAACACAACACTTCTGTTCTGAATTCGTGTATCATTCGTTCATTCGTTTTTCAAAATAAAACTAAAAGAAGAAAATGAAAAAACAGCAATTTTCTTCATTATTTGTCTTCGTACATTTGCCAAATTTTAACTTTTGAGAACTTGAAGGACCTACCTTAAATAGTTTTTTAGATACAGCAATCTGAAAGTGGCTGCTTGGACAACTTCGCTCAAAAACATATCTGCTCAAATATTTTTTTATGACAAACTGTATGAGCTGGGAGCTAAAATTTGAGACTTTTCTTATTGGAAAGTGTCTGAACCTCCTAGAATTTTTTCAGTCAAATCTGAAATGGTCGGGCAGGGGCACTCGGAGGTTTAGCGTGGAATGACCCCTATATGAAGGGATTCAGGGTTAGAAAGGGAGATGAACCAGGACTAAAACAGGATTAAAACAGGACTGGATGTCAGGACCGGCCCGGAGGTGTGCCCGCGTACACTGTCAGGTGACTGAGACCGGGACCAGACCAGGACTACACCAGGACTAAACCAGGTCCCAGTCTCTATCCTGGTCTGGTCCCTGTCTCAGTCCTGGTCTCAGTCTGGGTCTGGTCTCAATCTCAGTCCCGGTCTCAGTCACAGTCTTAGTCCTGGTCTGGTCTCGGTCTGGTTCTGGTGTTCAGAGGAGACCGGGTCTGGTCTCAATCTCAGTCCCGGTCTCAGTCACAGTCTTAGTCCTGGTCTGGTCTCGGTCTGGTTCTGGTGTTCAGAGGAGATAACTTTTCTTCCCTTATCTGACTCCTTTAATTTGACATTTGTTTTTCATCTCTAATTGGGACATTTTCCACTTTCTTTAAGAGCAGTACTCAAGTTCCACCTCTACTTAAAGACAGTACGATACATTTCCATTTTTCCCAATAGCAGTATTTTAAATGTTTTCTATTACCTTAACCACTTTCCTCCGAGTGTTTGTTGATGGAGAAGGATTCACAGACAAGAAGAGTTCAATTATTGAATACACTTCAAAATATTGAATAACAAAGCAGTAGGGTTCAACTGCTTGTCCCTGATCTAATACAAAACCTGGGATCTGGACGGGTGCACCTCTCTTGTCTCCCTTTTCTAACTCTGAACTTCTTTATATAGGGGTCATTCCATGCCAAACCTCCTAATGCCCCCGCCTGACCATCTCTTTTACTGAAAAATACAAGTAGGTTTGCACACTTTCCAGTAGGAAAAGTTTCAAATTTTAGCTCCCAACTCCTTATAGTTTTGTCATTAACCAGGCAGGCGTGGCAGATTTGCAACAGCTAAATGCCAATTACCTACTTACTCCACATCCATATTTTATGAGCTTTTTTAACTCAGGAGCCTTTTCTCCCATCCGTGCTGATAAACGTGGGCGATGCAGATTGTGCAAGAATGGCTACATGCAAACTGCCTGCCAGAAGTACAAAATACTTTTTTTTTTTTTACAAAGTATAAAAAAGTCAGGATTGTATATTACTACCCAATATTATTATTACCCCCAAATATCAGATTTTTCCTGATACTAAAAATTAATTTGAGCCTGAGAGGGTTAAAAAATATTTTGTCAACTACCCCCTGACCTGTTTTGGGGAGAGTTGTCCAAGGAGCCACTTTCAGATTGCTGTATCTTAAAAAACTATTTAAGGTCGGTCCTTCAAATTTTCAAGGGTTAAACTTTGGCAAGTGTACTGAACTAGGACCAGACCAGGACTGAGACGGGTGTTAGATATTATGATTATTAGATTATTACTGTACTACCTATGGTCATGAGCTCTGGGTAGTAACCGAAAGGACAAGATCGCGGATACAAGCGCTCGAAATGAGTTTCCTCCGCAGGGTGGCTGGGCGCTCCCTTAGAGATAGGGTGAGGAGCTCAGTCACATGGGAGGAGCTCGGAGTAGAGCCGTTGCTCCTCCACGTCGAGAGGAGCTAGTTGAGGTGGCTCGGGCATCTGTTCCACTTTCAGATTGCTGTATCTTCAAGGGACCTACCTTAAAAATTTGGCAAATGTACTTGTAGAATATGAACTTTTACACATGCGCTTTTGATTTATCACACATGTCTGGAGGCTTGAATTTGCTTGAAAATTCTATTCTTCAAATATGAGTGCATCTTTGAAGGACTGTGGAAAGTGCAATTTCAAAGACAGAGGTTTGATATTGAACATACACCCACACATGCTGTGTATTTTGTGTTTTAAAACTCACCCTCTGTGATGAATGGTCTAGAAGATATTATGTGTTAAAAATGGAAAAAATAAATTTTATGCCATCTTTACCATGTTATACCAAATAATGATAGTACCCACCAACATAAAATTAACTGTTTTAGAAAGACTAGATGTCTGTTTTTAACATATCCAAATTTTGTGATGGCGTTCTACCTTATTTTTGCAAAATTAATTTTTGAAAATGTGGTGTCCGCATACATTCATGGCATTCATGGACTATGAAGGCACTTTCACAAGCTAAGAAAACTCCTGATTTCATGACACACAGCTTAAACTCAGCAAAATACTTTATTTGATTACTCAACTATTGTAAATTATCTCAACCCTCTGAGGAAACTTTCAGATGTTTTGGTGTAACACTTCTGAATTGTATATAGGTGTCCTGTTGTAGTGCTAGGATCATCTATTTTAGAAATGATGTGTTGTAAAGGTACCCAGCACAAGTCTTCTCTCCTGGGCCAGAAGAAACTTTTTGCTGGGTCGCGTGGATGCATGAATTGTATCTGAACATCTTGCTGGGCATCAGATGTCTCTCTCTGATGCTTCCCACCCATCAGTGATGGTCGTAAACACAGGTTACATATTGGCTAGGTATCATGTCACTGATTTGGAAGCCCTGTGAAACCTCTTCTTCTGCATGTTCTGGCTCTTAGGGGACTAAAAATCCACCAATTCCAGACACTCTGCTCACCTCAGATGTTGCTGCATTGACTGGCTTAAAACAGTGACTATCTCTGGTACCTGGCACTGCGAGTGCATTTGCAAATCTACTTTCCAGCTTGTCAGCCATGGACTTCACATGCTCATGCCATCTTTACTTTGATTTTGACACAGCATCACCACACTCAGAACATCTCAGAGCAAACAACATGCATACATTACTGATGACTGACTGTAATCCACCACATTGTTTATGTTTTTTTAGTTCTTTAGTTAATAAAAATATATAACCCCTCGCCTCCCTCTTTTTGCTGCGTCTTTGCGCAGGATCATAATAGACATGTTTCTACATATAAGACTAAGACTACACATAAGTTATACTTCAAGTATAGTTGATTAAGAATGAAATGAAACAATTTGTTGAGTTTAAGTTGTTTGTCATGAAATCAGGGTTGTTTTCTTAGCTTCTGAAAGTGCCTTCATAGTCCATGAATGCTATACATGTATGCAGACACCACATTTTCAAAAATTTATTTTGCAAAAATAAAGCAGAACACCATCACAAATTTTGGATATGTTAAAAAACAGACATCTTTCTAAAACAGTCCATTTTATGTTGGTGGGTGTTATCTTTTTTATTTTGGTATAACATGGTAAAGATGGCACCAAATTATTTTTTTTCCATTTTTAACACTTAATATCTTCCAGACCATTCATCACAGAGGGTCAGTTTTAAAACACAAAGTACACAGCATGTGTGGGAAGGTGTACGTTCAATATCAAACCTCTGTCTTTGAAATCGCACTTTCCACAGTCCTTCAAAAATGCCCTCATATTTGAATAATAGAATTTTAAAGCACATTCAAGTCCCCAGAAATCTGTGATAAATCAAAAGCACATGTGTAAAAATCCACATTCTACAAGTACATTTGCCAAATTTTTAAGGTAGGTTCCTTGAAGATACAGTAATCTGAAAGTGGCTCCTTGGAAAACTCTGCTCAAAACAGGTCAGGGGGTAGTACAGTAATAATCTAATAATCATAATATCTAACACCCGTCTCAGTCCTGGTCTGGTCCTAGTTTCAGTCCTGTCTGGTCCCGGTCTGGTCCTGGTCTCAGTCCTGATCACCTGACAGTTTATGCCGGCGCACCTCCGGGCCCGTCCTGACACTCAGTCCTGTTTTAGTCCTGTTTTAGTCCTGATTCAGTCCGGATGCATTGCAAAAGTCCGGCATCGCAGTTTAAGTCACAGAAACGAGACACTGCAGTTATCAGGTTTTTTCCATTATTCATTTAAACACAAAATCGAAAACTGAAAAAACGAATCGTTATCCGTTTCATTTTGGTTTTGGAGACAAAGAAA